CCCCAAAACCCCAAAACCCCAAAACCCCTACACACTAAATCGTTAACGAAAGTTAATAATATTCACATTAATAAGTTAATTATTTAGTTATCATATTATTTCATTTTTTTAATGTTAATTAGCAAAGAGTTTAACACTAATTATATCCTTGTTATTACATTAGCTTTTTCAATACTAGCTTTGATATCTAACTAGGCTTGCACTGGCACTAACCCGAATTATCTAATGGCAGTTTATTCAACAACTGATCAAATATATATGAGAAATTTGGCAGTGGATGCCAGCAATAACATATACACCCTTGGAACAAAATCAGATGGCATAATTTACTCTAAGTTTGATCAGACAGGAACTAAGGTCTGGTCAATGAAAATTGGTTCTGGAACTGTTACGGCACAAGGAATAGCATTAGAAACTTTTGGTTGGGATACTATTTATGCTACAGGATCTGCTTCTTCCTCAACTCTCAACCAGAATTTAAATAACGATGATATATTTCTTCTTTCAGCAGATACAACTACCGGGAATTCAAATTGGATTAGATATTGGGGTGGCACTTTAGGAGACTATGGCGCTAAACCTGCAGTATCCCCTGATGGCTCTAAAATATTGGTGTCTGGGTAGTAGGATTCTTTTTTATTGCCCACAATGAGTACAGGCAGTATTCTCTTATTATTTGATTTCAAAGGAAACTTTTACTGGTCTAAGACCTATACTTCTACGACATATAATGGCTTTAATTCTAAAGATATGATATTCAGCAAATAAGGAGATTATTTCTATGAATCCATTAATGTGAAACTGTCCAATAATAAAATTAATACACTGCTGAGAAAGTCTATACTTTCAACTACAGTAGCATCTAGTTTCTCTTAATTGATAGGCTCATCTACAGGAGATATAGTTACAACTCAGGGATTAGCTCTGACTCCTGATGAGAGTTTTATTATTTACCCGACTGCAAATTCTAATGCTGACTACAGGAAAACTGCGAATTCAGAAGTATTACTTTTATGCTATTATACTAGTAATGGAAACGTTAACTGGATATCACAACTTTATTATACAGGAAAAGCTTTATCTGTACTCAATGGAGATATTAGCCCCGATGGAACAAAATATTATACTATGGTCTACGTCAATGGATAAGGTTAGGGTATATTTACATCTAAAGTTTTTGACGGTACTTAAATTAGGTTTAGAAAATGGATGGGTAACTATAAGTCATACTCTTTTAAAGTAAACTCTCTTGATAGATTGATCATTTCAACAGATGCTGATTCTGGGGCATTTAAAATAGGTTCTAATAACAATATGATTATAACATCTTGGGATTATGCAATGGATGACTTAACCTGTTCCTCTTTTAGCTTTGCAACAGACAACAATGCTTTATCATCTTTATTTACAGATGTAACTTTGTCAACTCCTACATTTGTTGATCTAAAGATCTAAGATATCTATAGGAAAGCCGTAGATACTACTGGGGCAAATACAGCCGCTTCATTAACTTTAATTGTATAGAACTTATTGAATTTGTGCACTGGAAATACTCTAATATTTCCATCATCAGTTTCAACTTAAACTTTAACTATTGGAGATACTTTAACTCTTAGTTAGACTGCTTTTTGCTATCAAGGAACAGGATCAGGATCAGCTACATCTGTTTATACCTCAACTTAACCAGACGGCTAAACTTTGCCATCATGGTTAACTTTTAATCCTTTGACTAGAACATGGTCAGGAAGTCCCTCGACATCAGGAGTTATATATGTTTCTATGAGAGCTGATTATACAATAAGTTCAGTGAATCATGCGGTTGTATCACTTTTTAAAATTGTGGTAAAAAATACACCCCCATATATGTAATACTCAATCCCCTCTGTTTCAAAGAAAACTGGTACATTTTTCAAGTATCAGATAGACACAAACACATTTGGGGATGCAGAAGGTGATTCTTACTAAATATATGCTTTTAACTCAGCAGCCCCTGAAGAACCATTACCAGGATGGTTATTCTTCAACAGATTTAATAATACTTTTTCTGGGATATCACCTAAAACTCAAAGCTTGGATGTTATAGTTTATGCTATAGATAGTGCAGATCAAGTAGTATCTACTACTTTTACTCTTACAATTACTAATAATGCACCTAGAATTATAACTTACATTCCTGAAATGGTCATTAATACAATGGAGTAGTTTAATTACAAGATTCCATCAAACTACTTTGCTGACGCTGATGGGGATAAATTGAAAATAACATCAGATATAAGTTCTACAGATTGCCTAAAGCAATGGCTTTCCTTTAATTAAGCTTCATCCAGTTTTTCTGGAATACCTCCTTAGCAATGTAAAGGCTCTTATACAATTACTTTGACTATCTCAGATGGATTTACAGGTGGATCAATAACTGATTCATTCAGCTTAACTGTAAATGCAAAGCCTACTTAGCACTAGACCAATGGATTTATTCCAGAAGAATATGTTTTTGGACTAGGTCAGAATACAATTGACTTATCATAATACTTTGAGGATTTAGATTCAGGTTCAGTATTAACATATTCAATTACAAAAGCAAATGGCTAATCTACTGGTACTTGGATCACAATAAATGCGAATACAGGTTTGTTGACAATCAATGCAGTAGCAACCAATGCTGGGGCTATATAACTTCTAGCTACTGTAGCTGATTCAAGAGGATCTGCATTTTAACAGGGCTTCAGAATAATTATCAATAGTGTTCCTAAAATCAACGAATCTATGGAAACCTTGCAAGCGACAGTTGGAATTACTTTTGCAAAAATACTATCTCCGACATTGTTTAAAGATCCAGAAAATCAAAAACTCAAAATTACATGTACCTAGAATGGGGGTCTGGCTTTACCAAGTTGGCTAAAATTTGACATACTTTCAAATCAGTTATATGGAACTCCTGCATCTACTGATATAGGCTCATCCATTTTAGAGTTAAAGGCAACTGACAACTATGGACTTGTAACTTCATTACTTTACGTTAATTTGGAAATAAAATCCAATAATCCACCAATTATAAGATTTGGATAGTCAATGGCTGCCTAAACCGTTAAGAGTAACCTAGATTTCTCTTTCGAAATACCAGACAAATTATTTTAGGATCCAGATGGAGAAAGTGCAGTATTAAATCTACTACTAGCTGATGGAAGTGACTTGCCCTCCTGGATAAAATTCACCCCGCTAAATAGACTTGTATATGGTACAGCTACCACAAATTTAACTTCTCTTAATTTGAAGATTCTCGCTAGTGACTAGAAAAGAGCTACAGCTTCTGCAACTTTCTCTCTCAACATAGTTAAGAATAAAGCTCCATTAGTCCTGAATGAGATAGGAAAAATATAGGTGTATATGAACATATACTTCCAATATTAGATTCCAGAATCGATATTTAGAGATGAAGATGCAGATGAGTTGTCATACTACATGGCTTAATATGATGTTAAAAATTAAATTCCCCCATGGCTTAAATTTATACCAGGTAACAGAACTCTGAATGGGATGGCTAAGGATGGGGAAGGCTAAACTTTAATGTTCAAGATTTTTGCTGATGATGGTAGAGGTGGAGTCAGTTATCAAGTTTTATATCTTGAGATTAATGCTAATTATGATTTAGGAAAGCTCATTCCTTTAATTGTCTTGGGATGGCTACCTATAGTAGGAATATTTGGTTTTGCTTTTGCTATGGCTTTTGTAAAGGTACCATCACTAGGTAATGATCATATTTTATAAGGCAACTCAAAAGTGGATTATGATACATTGAGAATGGCGCTTGAAGAATAAGTAAGATATAAAAAGAGATAGTAGTAACTAACTTAAAATGAGGAGATTATATATGAATAAATATGATATTTCGATAGATTTATATTATTTTACATTTTATATCA